AACATCTCTGGCTTCATTTTAAGACAGGGGTCCCCAACCTCTGGGCCATGGCCCAGTTCTGAACCGGGCCGCATAAGTAGCAGGTGAGCGCGCATGCGTGCAGCTCCACTTGTATGAGCTGCGGGCACTTGCACTCATACATGTGCCTGCCACTCACATGGAACCCACCCTCTTGCCCTGCTGGGCTGCTAAACTGGAAAGGTTGGGGACCACTGCTTTAAGATCCTTTCAAGGTATAGCAATTGTTTATAACGTAACAGGTATGGGCTTACTAACGTGTTTGCATGAGATCCAAATGTTATCTCCAGAAGGATGTCATTGTTATGGTGATGGTGGTCATTTTAACTACTGTTCTTTATTGCATTTATTGTATATCCCATTTTTCCTTTGAAAGCTCAAGGAGCCACAAATGGGATCTCCCCAGGCTTTATCTCCCCAGCAGTAATCTTGAGATGTAGGTTGCAGGGAAAGGAGGATTCACACAGTGAGCTCCACCGTTCATTGAGAACTTGAACGCTGGTGACTTGGTACCAAATATCTTAATCATTTTCTATACCATGGTATCATAGCTCTGAAAGTAAGATGTAATTCTCAAACCAGCACACCCTCTGTGTTTTTCTATATTAATTGAAAAAAAAACCTAGTTATTTGTTTATTTAAATTAGTTATAACTGCCCAACTCTGACGGACTCTAGGCATTGCTTTCCTTTTGACGCGTGCCTGTAACATCACTGAGGACAGCTGGCCAGTGTCCACCTTCTCATCCTTGCCATGTTTTCCATTGCCTCTCCACTCCAGTTCCTGTGCAGGATTATAAGAGTGAATGCTATGTCTGCCTTTTGCTAGAGAAACGAAGGAAGCCGCTCTAAAGAACACACAGCTGTGGATTTATGTTCCAGTGTCTGGTTTTTTAAATATATATATAAGAATGAGTGAGGCCAGAAAGAGAACATGTTTAGCTATTTTGGAGGTTTTGCTTGTTTTTCCATCTGATGAGACAAGCCTTCCTCAGCTCAGTGTTGAATTGCCTCCTCTTCTACTAAAGTGTGTTAGCTTTAACATGGTTTTTATGAGTTAACCTTTGCAGGATTTCCCTGTAAAAAGCTGGAGATGCTTTCCCAAGTCTGCCTGCAATAAATACCTTTATTTGTCACCCGGTGTGCATTCAGAAACTGCCCTCAATCCCACCTCTCAGTTGTGTCCCTGTGATGGCATAAGTTCAAAAGTCTGCTTACTGAAGAAGAAAAAACAACAACAACACAAGATCTTGCAATGAAAGGAATATAGGAAAAAAGCCCGAAAAGAAACGGGGGACTGAACCTCTTGCTGTAGGCTCTTTACAGGATGCTGCTCAATTCTTTGCCTGAATTAAATTCCTTTTTAGCAGCTCCTCTTATTATACCCCAAACTCCTTAATGACAGACATGCTAAATGGTGAAGCAATTACGTGTATCCAAGGTAGCAGCCTAGTATTTTTTTGGGGGGGGGGGGGCGGGGCAAGGGGGCTGCTGCGTGGTTTGGGGAAGCCTAGGTCAGAACACCTATATTTTTTACAGCTTACTAAAACATTATCCTTAACTGACAAAAGCTGTAATGAGCAATAGAAGTCAGTCTTTGTGGTGACAGTCATAGCATAAAGAAAACAGAGGCTTGGAATGTTAGAGACATAAATGGTAAAGAGCATAAATTAACAAATGAAATAGTGGAGGGGAAGCATATTGTGGGGGAGTATGTAATGGCTCCAAAGGAAGTACAGGCGCATTGATAAAGGATGAATGAAAGGGCTAGTAGACATGTCTGCACATACAAATTAGTGTCATCCAAGTTATCCTGAGCGCATATGAAAGTAGAAATTCATGGGCTGATAACAATGGTTTCTTAGCCTA